AAATTATATAAAAAATTATATATTATAATATATATAGAAGAAATAAAATAGAATATATAAACATAATTATAGTAATTCAGTGCTTAGTATTATTTTAAGTCTTTATATTATAAACTTTAAATATAACTAGATAGTTTTAACAAGATATATAGCTGAATAGCAGTTAAAACACCACTCTAATTAATTTTGCTAGTTAATCAGATTTCAAGATCTTGTATAACAAAAGAAGTACAAAAAACAAAACAACAAAAAAACTCATATCTCAAAATTTTGCTTATGAAAGTGACTTCTGATACTAACAAAAAAATTTCTTGTAAAATTTTACTATAACTATAACCCTCTAAACCAAACATTAATCTACTGATAAGACCCTAACTCTAAACTAATTATGAAACAGTTTTTTTAATAAGATTATATAGCGATCACATAGTTAGCAAAATTTTTTAGAGTGGTGATACTAGACTTTTAATATAGCTGCTAGCTGAAGATTAAAAAAAAACTCTTTAGCAAGTTAAAGACCCAGAAGAAGATCAATAGCTACTAAAACAGATCATATTTAGATAAAAGCTTAGTAAGCTATTTGTTTAGTTAGATTAAAATAGCTATAGATAAAAATTCATATAGATTATATAATTTTTGAATAGTTATAATCTTAGATATACAGAGGCAGGATTGCAAAATTACAAAAAAAAATAAAATTAAAAAATTTTAATTTTTTTATAAAAATATAAAATAAAAAAATAAATTAATAAATATTAATTTATATAAAACTTTTAAAATATATAGGCTGAATACTGCAAAAAAAGGAGAAATCAACAACAAAAAATCTTTAAAAATTAATTTTTATATTATAAATTTGATAATAAATTATAAGAAATTGCAAATTTTGAAGAGCTATACTACAAAATTTTATTAATACAACTACTTTCGTGTCTTAAGTAAAAAATAATCCTGATCTTATTTTAAATTAATTTATACAAAAAATTAATTTAAAAAATTTGTCAAATTTTCTCCTTTTTGCAGCACCTAGCTCATATATATTATATTTTTATAACTACATAAACTTCTTTTTCAACAATTGTATTATTGAAAGAAAAATTTATATAGTTAGTAAAATATTTTTTAAAGATATCTTACAATCTATCAGACCAATTTTGATGATTTAGTACAAAAAGAAGTTTTAAATAGAAGCATGTTAAATTCAAAAAACTATAATTTTTATATATAAATTACATTATGTTATACTATGATCACTCACTAGCTAACTAGTGAATTACTAATTAAATTACAAAAATTATTATATTCAAAACTAAAATAAGCTATATTTTTAATTCTGTAAAGTAAATTGTTGTTGATAAAATTATAATAATATAATATCAAAAAGCAAAATAAATTAGAATAGTTTGTATTGAAATTAAACTTCTTTGCAATAGACTTTTTTATATATTTAATATTTAAACCAAAATATTATTTTAAAAGCAAATTGATAGTAAGATTGTTAAAACAAAAATAAAAAAGTTCAAAAATATTTATTCAGAAGTTGGTTTATAAAAGAATCTATTACAAAATATTTATTTAACAATTTTTTTTAATAATTACTTGAATTAACTATTTTTTGATCACAAGTTAAAGACTTAACATCAGAAGTTCTAATTACTTTAGGTAGCATTATTTATTATCTAATTATTTTTTATCTTCTTCTCTCTTTTAATATATAAAAAATCAGGTTTTTATATATAATTTTGATTTTTTTTACTTTTTTCCTCTAAAAATTACCTAATTTTTATTATATCTCTTATTGTTTTTGTATATAAATTATTATTATCAAAGTTTTTAACTATAATAAGCTATGATATGAGTATTTTAAATAGTTTATATAGAGGTTAAATTTTGTTTTTTTTGCTTCTTGAGTAGACATCTTTTTGTATTTGGTATCTAAATCAAAAAGGTTTCTAGAAATAGCAAATATATAGAAATATAAATAAAAAAGACAAAAAAGCAAGATAAACAATCTAAAACTCTCTCTAGTTAATATCTTATAACAAGTATTCTCTTTTTTCTTAGCTTATACTTTGTATTAAATTTTTTTAAAAAATAAAATTTTGATTTTTTCTTATTAAAAGATTCGTATTGTCTATATTTTATAATAGGAAGTTTAGTTACAATATAATTAACAAAAAATATAACAAACTTGATATTACTATCAGATTAGTTTCAAATTAAGACCTGAAGTATATTTATGGATAATAAACTATAAGATAATAACTAGTTATATTAAAATTTTATAAAATATATATAAAATTTTAAAGAGTATATTTATTTATTACTCTAATACAATATATTTTATATATCACTCTTATATGATCAACTAATCAAATCTCAAAATTAAATATAATATTATATATTTAGAAAAATTTAAAACAAACAAACATTTTGCTAAAAATTATTTATAATTTAAAATTTTACATTCTAGGTTCTAATAAAAAAAATTTCTTGCAAAATTTTACTATAGAATCTGGTTTTTGCTTCAACTCTAACCATATTTATCTCTAACCTTACTATATAAAAAAATATTGTTTTGATTTTATGTTATGCTTGATTTTATAATCTCATTAATATGACAATATCACCCATATGATGAATAAATTCTTTTAATTTTAAAAAAAGGAAAATTTATACAGTGCACCTCACGTGATTTTATATTTTCTGTATGATGACATCAATTTTCAGTAGCTTGTACACATACTTAATATGTAATGTGTAATAATTAGTGTATTTATATACACACGTGATAGATAATTATGCGATTTTTACTTTTTACAAAAGTTGTAAAAAAAAATTGAACTGTTCATTGTTAGCTTTTCATATATCCAAAATTTTTTTATAGTGTTTGCATTTGCCTTTAAACTTTTACTTGTGTTTAAAAAAAACATTTGTTGTTAGCTTTTTTTATATCAAAGTTTCTTTGTAGCGTTTGCACTTGCTTTTAAACCTTTATGTTCGCTTATAAGTAGATAATACTGATTTAAATACTACTATTATTTAGTAAAAATAAAGTTTTTATTACAAAAAATTTATTTTATTCAACTGACAGCATAATAATATGTTTGATCAAATTGAAATCGATAGCGACAATGAATCAGTAACCGATTTTTTAAGTGAAGATAAATTTGTAGAAAAATTAGATAAGGATAACTTTGACAGAAGTGAATTTACAGAAAGTTATTTAGGTAGGAATAACTTCATAGAGGATAATTGTCTAAACGAACTAGCAGAAAACTATTTTAATAAGGACGAATTAGTTGAGAATTATTATGAGAATGAATCAGTTAAAGATTATTCTAATACAAATGAATTGACTAGTAATGATGATTGGCTAGAGAATAATAAAGATGAGACGGATAACCTTTATGTTGGTAAACGATTTGTATCATGGCAAGAAGTTATAAAATTCCTTAATTATTATTGCAAGCAAAAAAGGTTTGGATATAGAAAGGAATGCTCAAAAAAAAGTGAAGGATTAGAGGATGCTAAAAAAAGAACTTTTTTATGCAAACATGCAGGGACATATAAACCAAATAAATCTGCAGGGCTTGATCAACAGCGAAATAAACCTTCATGCAAAGTTGGTTGTATGTGGTATATTAATATTGCCAAAAAAGGTAATGAAATTTGAGGTAACAACATTCATCAATGAACATAGAGAGCACAGTCCAGACCCGCAAAATGCACATTTTTTAACTCAATTTTGAAAGCTAAGTGAGGAAATGTTAGAAGATATTCATTTTTGGATACTTGAAGGCAGCCTTAATGCAACAAAACAATACCAGATGCTTTTAAGCAAATATCAATGTTGTGTTGTCAAGCAAGATCTATATAATGCAATTCATATAATTCGGCATAAAAAAGAGCCTGCAAAAAATGATCCATTCAATGTTCTTAATTTTTTGTTAGAAAAGAAGGCTGATAACCCAGAATGGGTTGTGGAGTATCAACTAGATCCAGTGTCTCAAGCTCTTTCACATCTATTATAGATGGAGCCACAACAAGTTGAGTTATATATCTGATACAGCTCAGTTGTCGCACATGATAATACTGCCAAGACCAATATATATGGTCTTCCACTTTCAATTTTTATAGTGGTTGACAATAACTTTAATACATGGCCTGTTGTACAAGCATTCCTTGAGAATGAATCTCTTGAATTATATGCGTGAAGTTTAAGGGTTATACAACAAGCACTTGGGCTTTGTCCACCAGTAATTATTACTGATGCCGATCCTGCAATGGATGCGGCTATTGTTCAAACCTATCCTAAAATGAGATATTTGCACTGCATCTGGCACATAGGCCAAAATCTTCCTAAAAATTTAAAAAATAAGTTATATGGTAATTATGAAGATTTTGCCAAAAAATTTTTTCAATGCCATAATAAACTTAGTATTGAAAGCTTTGAGTATGAATATGTAAAATTAATTGAGGATTACCCTGCTGCAGCAAGCTATCTTAAACATTTATATAAAAGCAAAAAGTCATGGACAAGATGTTATACGAGTTCGTGTTTCACAGCTAGAATGCAATCTACAAGCCGTATTAAGAGTGTTAATGGAATAATTAAAAAGGATTTAGATGGTCGATGTGTATCATTAAATGATCTCTGCACAAGCATTACTCGGATTCTTAAGAAGCACCAAAATCATAAAGAATTTGTAGCATGGAAAGAAACAATGCCTATAATCACACCACCTAATATATATAATATAATCTTTCGTGAGATTGATAGTGAACTTCATAATTGTGTGACTCTTGCAATAACTGAAAAAATTCGGGAACAAATAAATCATAGTCTTTTGTATAATGCAATATGAGTTGATCATAATAAGAAAGATATTGAGTTCTCGTGTGAAACAGCTTGTATTGATGAAGTTTTTGATCTATCTCAAACCTTAGCAAATACCATTCTTAGTGATTTTCATAATTAGTTGGCTTTGATATGGGAAGTACAACATATGACATATGCGGCTCCTCCTCAATTTGTTTTTCTCTTAAAAACTGGCAATTATAAATGTACATACAAATTAGAGACTATTTCAGACTGGGTCTGTAGACACTTTCTTCGTATCATTTGTACATCACCAGAAGCTAGATTTCACATTAATATGATTAATCATCATTGGCTCAATGACAATGTATATGGCAGTGACTTAAATAACAAAAACTTTATTAGATTAGTGAATGAAGATACAAATACATCGGGAAATTTTTTTTATAGAAAGTAATCGATATATAGCATTTAATCGTTTTATATCGATTTATAAATAACG